TGCAAGATGTTTAATCTCGCTCTTGAAAGTGAAACTTATCCTACCTTGTGGAAGGAATCACACATTCTGCCCATTCCTAAGCACGGCAAATCTACATCATTTGATGACTTTCGGCCAATAAGCACCCTCCCCGCAGTTTCGAAGCTCTTAGAGACATTGATCAAGGATAAGATGATGTGTCACTTAACAGCGAACAACTTACTGAGTGTTGCTCAGCATGGATTCCTCAAAGCTCGATCTTGTGACACCTGTCAACTCTCTTTCTTTGACTATGTTCTCCAATCTAGGGACCATGGTTTTGCTCTTTACACAGTATATTTCGATTTCACTAAGGCTTTTTACCGTGTTGACCATGCTCTTCTCCTCTTGAAATTGTCCTCTTTCGGAATAGGTGGCGAACGTTTGAATTTTATATCCTCTTATTTGGGCACTCGCACACAACGAGTTAAAATGTACAATACCATCTCCAAGCCCACACGTGTGAGGAGTGGAGTCATTCAGGGTAGTGTACTCGGCCCGCTTTTATTTTGCCTTTTCGTTAATGATGTACCCGATTTATTTCAGAATGGTAAGCCTTTCATGTATGCCGATGATCTTAAAGTTACATATCGATATAAGTCGGCAGATCATGACATCGTGCTTGAGCTCCTAAAGAGCGATCTACAGGCTTTCGCCCAGTGGTGCCGCACATGGCGCCTTTCTCTTTCCTGGCATAAGTGCTCAGTCATGGTAGTTGGCGACGACCGCCAACCTCAACTAAGTATTGAAGGTCACGTCATAAATGTGCCAGGGGTTATAAAGGAATTGGGCATATCATACTCCAAGCGTCTCAATCTCTCGGAGCACTGTGCCTTGATAGTCTCCAAAGCACGTAGAACGACCGGGTTTATCCTCCGAAATTTTAAAACTAGGGACATTAGAATGCGCCTTTTCAACATGTACGTTAGACCTGGTCTGGAATACTGCTCGTTTTTATTTAGCCTCATGCGTGCTACTGAGCGAAAGAAAATAGAATCCGTTCAACACTTTTTTACTAAGAGAATTTGGGCCCCGGAACACCGACATTTGTCTTACCAAGAACGTTGCCGGCTTACAGGCCTCGATCCTTTATGGCTCCGTAGATTACAAAAGGGACTATTGTTTGCTATTTAAACTCTTATATAATCACACATTTAACCCACTCACCTCTTTAAGACATCATATCCACCCACGACGTAACAGTCACCGTGAGGTCTTCTTATTTCTGCCTCTGGCACGTACTGTTAAATATCGTAGGTTATTTTCTGTAAATGCAATTGCTATTCGGAATAAACTACCAATGAGTGTGAAAACTCTGCAAAATTTTCCTTCATTTAAGAGAACTATTACTCGATTTTTGCATTCAGAAAAGCTCCCACAGATTTTGCGTGCTGAATCTACTGATCGACTGTACCGTAGCGATGGCGTTTGTGGTCTCTGAACACTATGGCCGGTCTCACCTGCTGTTCCTCAACGCCTCTACTTTGACTATCCCCAACTTCATGAAAGGAATTTGACGTCCGATAATCTCCGATACCGTGCAACCTCCCCCCTTCTTGACGGTCGATATCCTACCACCGCCGACAGTTTTTGTTCTCCTGAGCCCTCCAAACCACAAAAACCACCATCAACTATATTATTATGCCTTAAGCTCAGGAGTTTTTTCTCACTGCTGGTTGGATTTGTGTTTAATCGCTTCCCTTGACAATGCCTGTAAACTGGTATTAAATTAAAATTTATTTATTTATTTGAAAGACCACTGGTTGGGGTAGCCTCTCAGGTCCAAAGCACATATAGCGACATTTAGACGGAGAGAATTCCACTAGCCATTTTGAGCTCCAAGCTGACATAGCAAGCAAGTCAGCATGTATTTGTCCAGGTAGTGAAGGCTCGTATATTTATTGAAATAATATGCACATTTGAGATCGTCGACATACATAAATAAATGATTGAGAATGCTTAATTGATGCCCAGATAACATTTTCGTAAAGCAGGAACAAAAGAGGACCTAAAACGGTACCTTGTAGGATACCACCTACAATAGGACTTTCACTGGAAAGTGAAGCTCCCACTAAAACCTTTTGTTTACGATTAGACAGGTTGACTTGATAAAGCCTATTAGGTGACTGGAAAGACCCAGAGTTCGAATTTAACTGAGAGTCTTTTATGTGGCACTTTATCAAAAGCCTTACTACGATCCAAATAAATAACGACAACAGATAGATGGTCATTACGAAGAGAAGCAAGTAGAATGAGAAACGAAAGATGATATGTTTCACAAGAGCGAACTGGTGCAAAACCATGCTAGGAAGGGCAAATAACTTGATTGGTCATGCAAAAATCCGTAATTTTTAAGGCGATAATTTTTTGAAAAGGCGTTTTATGGACACCTCGATAGTTCTGAACGTCAGAACGACAGTCAGACTGAAATACTGGAATAATAATAAAAGTTTTCCAAAAGTCGGGAAAGAAGCCATGTATGAGAAATATCGAAAAGAGTTTGCTAAGCAGAGGAGGAAAATCACTTAGCTGGTTTATAAGTGAGTTTGGGATACTGTCCGTACCTACTGAGTGAATGTTAGGAAGTTGGTTTATCAGTTTTTGAATAGTTTCAGGAGAAAAATTAATGATGCTGAGAGATGCATCAGACAACGGAGGAATTAAATGGATAGACTCTGTTTTAATGGTGAAATGTTTGGCAAAGAAAGAATTTAACATTTCTGCTTTGCCTGACTCCTCTGTAATGAAGACATCGTTGGTACTAAGCAAAGGCGGGATGACTTGGTGGGATTTAGCAGATCATCATTGAGGGAAGATGTCGGCAAATGATTTAGAAGCATTCACGCCACCAATAACTAAAGACTCTCTACGCCTATATCGCGCGAGCCTGATTTTCGAAGTTAATTCAAATATTTCAACGATTCTTAGATGAACTGATAATGAGCTCACAGATGGATCTTTAAGCTGCTTCCGTAGCTCTTTAAGTCTGTTTGTAAAAAAAAGTGTGGGACAGCGGTGGAAGTGGCACTCCATTTAAACGTCTTCCATGGAATTAGGTCGAGAAGATCTTCTGTTACGTACTTCAATAAATTGTTGAAAAATGTTAGATCATTATTTGAAAAAATATTGTGCCAATATAGAGTGCATGTAAAATTATTTACTAACTCCTTGTTAGCTACGAGGACGAGTCGTGCACTGGACGCTCCTATATTCTGCTAAAAGTCCAAAAACTCGAAAAAGAGCTGGCTGCTTTAAGGGAACTCGTGCAACCGTAACAGAGCTAGAGCTAGCAATACAAAGGGAAAGAAAAACTCTAAAACATCCAAAGAACAAAGTTTGTGGAAAACCTAGTGCAAGGACGCCGAAACCCATGACGATGGGAAAATAGCAACGGAGTCTCTTGTTTCTATGGAAGGCAACCGACGCGAACCATCAACTTCTCTTAGCCATTCCGCGTTTTCAGTAGAACCCTCGATTGGAAGTGCGGAAAAAAACTCGTGGCAAGTTGAAATGGGTAAGCACCGCGACAGGTGTATAAAACCCCTGACGACTCCGGTGGATCTCCTAAGACCTTCAGCGGACAAGGCCGCCGGAAACAGAACAAATGAACCCCTTGATCGTCAGCACTGCGTAGTTGTCCAGTGCCTATCGGGGTCGAATGCTCCTACCCCGAAGGAGAGGATTTTCGCTGACCTCGATATGCTTCAACACCTACTAAACAAGATGCTTAATTCGAATGAAAATGTAACCATTCGCGCAGCCTTCTGTATCGGAAAGAAGGTGAGCAAACAATCGGAAACTGTGCGGCCACCACCTCTGAAAATTGTTTTGGGTAGTAAAGAGGAGGCTAACTTACTTCTGTCCATGAAAAGCAGCCTCCGAAACTCCCTCAAGGAAGATTTTCAGCCGGACTATTCTCCAGCGGAACGTCTGAAAGCCCGCGAATCAATGACGGAGCTAAAGAGGAGACTTGGAGTGGGAGACAGCCACTTAGCTATTTTCAGGCGACGAGTAATACAGAGGAATGCGATGTTGCTTTGGAACCAGCCAGTCATCATGATGGCGGCAGCAACATAATATTGGCAAACTTGAGACAAATCGAACGAAACACTGTCCAAAGTTGCAAACTTAAATTCTTTTACACCAATGCTCAGGGTCTGTCTCCCGAGCTCGATGAACTAAGAATACAGGTAGCCGATACTCTTCCGGATGTTATAGCAGTAACAGAAACGTGACCGTCAAAGAACGTATGTGATTGCGAAATAGCACTAACAGGATACCAGTTGTTTAGGAGAGACAGGAGAGGTCGCCGGGGTGGAGGAGTTGCCATGTATGTCAAGAGCAACTTAGCAGTGTGTGAGAGGACCGACAAGATTTCTGACGACACAGAGGCAATTCGGCTGATTATAAAGGCACGGGGGTCTCAGTCCCCCGAAATCGTAACTAGCTATCGCCCCCGGGGGCGGATCCCGACCCAGGTGATTGTCTACTCGAAAGCATAAAGAAGATCACCAGTCGACCAGACGTTGTTCCCATGGGGGATGTTAATGCACCCTCCATTCAATGGAGTGATATGCATTCGAAATGCTCGAAGTATGTCTTCGATTACAGTCTACTAAAGACAACCCTAGAAACTCCTATCACACAACGTGTCCTATTTCCAACAAGAAAGTTAGGATTGAAAAATTGAAAGTGTGCGTAAACCTACACAACTCCCCCACAAGAGCGTTTGTTGTACAAAAAAACGTTCGATAAAAAAATGCAAAAAGTTATATGAAAAAGTCTTTGAGTTTGATAGGAAAATGGATATGTCTACCAAAACGCAATGAGGTGCGTGATGCAGTGGTAGGAGAATCAGGATGGGTTGGTGGGGTGGTAGAGTGGAGGGGACCGAAACGGGTGGATCGGGCGAGGACGGTGCAAAGGAAATCGGTGGTACAACTGACGGCGGAATGTACTCAATATAGGCTGGCTCAAGTATGTCAATGGAGACTGTCAGTTTTGTGAGCCTTCTGAATGATGTAATACTTGTCCATCCGCTGAAGAACCTCATATGGGTCATCATATGGGGAACAAAGAGACTTGCCAACCGCGTCATGCCGGACGAAAACGAATGGAGAAAATTTAAGGTCCTCATGCACAAACACACGTTTCAATGTCAGAAGAATGGGGGTTGGACGCAGTTGAGCCATGCGTTGTTTCAACTGCTGTACGAAGGCGCTCGGGATGTCGGTGTTTGTCGTGGAAGACTGCGCAAATTCGCCGGGCAGACGGATGGGTGTACCGTACACAAGTTCGGCGGTAGTGTATTGGATATCCTCCTTGACAGAAGATCGGATGTCCAAAAGCACAAGAGAGCGATTGTCACTCCAAGAAGCTGATGCTGTCTGGGACATCAGTGCGGATTTGAGTTGGCGGTGTAGACGCTGCACGAGGCCGTTGGCGGCAGGGTGGTATGCCGTGGTTGTGATGTGCGCACACCCGAGCAGTTTAGTGAACTCACGGAAGAGGCCAGATTGGAATTGACTCCCGCGGTCAGTAGTAAAATTGGCTCGAACACCAAAAGTTGAAATCCAGTGCGTCAGAAAAACCATGGCGATATTTTCTGCCGAGGTATCCGAGACGGGAACGGCAATCGGCCATCGTGTGAAACGGTCAACCGCTGTCAGAATATGCATGTACCCGCGTGAAAAGGGTTGCGGACCAACTAAATCCAAGTGGACGTGGTGGAATCGAACATCATGAACGGCGAGTGTACTTGGTGGAGAAAATGTGTGGCGGTGTACTTTATTCTTCTGGCAGGCTAAACACTGTTTAGTCCAAAGAACGATGTCAGAGTTCATCTTCGGCCAGATAAAACGAGTGACGATTAGCTTACGAGAAGTGCGGATGCCAAGGTGTGACAGGGAATAGAAATGGTCAAACACTGTCTTGCGGTAGGATAGTGGAACAACAGGTCGAGGAGTGCCTGTGGACCAGTCGCACAAAGTCGTGCCTGGTGACGCGGGAAGTGATGCATCTCGAAGTTGCAGAGTAGTAGTAGAACGCAAGTCGTCAATGGACTTGTCGCTTGATTGAAGGTCTGCAAGCTTCGCCAGGTCGAAATCGGATGTAAGTGTGTTGATGTCCGGACGATATAATGCATCAGCAACGAAATTTTCGCAGCCTCGGACGTAGCGGATATCTGCGATATACAGTCCAGATGACGAACTTCCCTGGGTGAGTAACTATCTGACTTGGCCTTGAGGGCGTAAGTGAGAGGTTTGTGGTCGGTGTGAACCGAAAAATCTCTGCACTCTATGAGGTGTCGAAAAGGACGAATGGCCAAGTAGATGGCAAGGAGTTCGCGAGAGAAAGTACTGTAGCGAGTCTGCGCCGGATGTAGCTCCTGTGAAAAGAAAGCCAATGGCTGCAACTGGCTATTCACCTGTTGACGCAGGACTGCACCGACAGCACTGTTGGAAGCGTCAGTGGTCAAGATCAGCTGTGCGTTGGGTTCGGAGCTGAGATGGTGAAGTAAAGTGACACCAGCATGAGCCTTCTTAGTTGCCTCAGAGTCTGAGTGAGCTGCTGGAGAGAGTTCGATCGGCTTTGCTTTAGACTTAAGAAGGTCAGTTAAGGGAGCTAGGGTCGTCGCACAGTGAGGGATAAAAAGTCGGTAATAGTTGAGAAGTCCTATAAAACGCCGAGGCTGGGTTAGAGTCTTGGGGACAGGGAATGACAGAATGCTCTAGCAGCGGTGTGATTCCATGCTGGTCGACGTGGTGACCAAGGAAATCTAGAGAACAGACGCCAAAGATACATTTGTCGACGTTTAATTTCAGACCATGTTTCTGGAAACGGTCGAATATATGGTGAAAGTGCGAGGCATGTTCTTCTACCGAAGAACTTGCGACGAGTATGTTGTCAATGTAGACATAAGTGAATGAGAGACCTTCCAAGACCTGATCGATGAAGCGTTGGAAGGATTGGGCTGCGTTGCGCAAATCAAAAGGCATGGGAAGGAATTCGAACAGGCCGAAAGGCGTTGTGACGACGGTTTTGGGGATGTCTTCTTCCTCGACCGGAATTTAGTGGTATGCTCTCACGAGGTCTATTTTGCAAAAAAATAGTTTTTCCAGCTAGCGTGTGAGAAAAATAATGCATATGGGGAATAGGGTATCGGTCGGGAACAGTGGCTCTGTTGACAGCGCGATAGTCGCCGCATGGTCTCCAATCCTCAGTCGATTTCTTGGGTACCATGTGGAGGGGAGAAGCCCATGGGCTGGAGGAAGGGCGAATAATTCCTAGATTCATCATATGCTCAAATTCGTTCCTTGCTATCCGAAGTTTTTCGGGGTGAAGACGGCGAGGATGAGCGTAAAACAGGCTGCCCCGTGGTGATGATGTGGTGTTTAACCGTATGCTGAACCTCCCCATTGAACTGACAGGGCTAAGTGAGGGACGAGTAATCCTTCAAAATGTCAGCGAAAGGTGGGCTTAGTACGGTCAACTGGATGCTAACCGAGGGTTCAGAAGCAGCAATCCCTATTGTAAAGAGTGTAGTTGTGGTATCGATAAGTTTGCGATGCTTGAGGTCGACTGCAAGACCAAAATGAGTCAGGGAATCTGCCCCAATAATGTGAGATTTGACGTCGGCCTGCACAAAGACCCACTGAAAACGTCGCCAAAGACCAATGTCAAGTGTGAGCGATCGTTGGCCATAAGTGTTGATAGTGGTGCTATTTACAGCCTGCAATGAAAACTGCGAAGGCTTGAGATGGTGGCGCCTTGGAGGCGGGATCACATAAATCTCGGCATCAGTATCGACAAGGAAACGGAGGCCGCTCGTCTTGTCACTGATATAGAAGAGGCGACTGGGCCGTGACTGGCCAGCGGTAGTTGTCGCCGTTACTGGCTGGTGTGGTCGTTTCCTTGTGGTGAGGGCTGCATGCATGTGCAGGGAGGAATGCACTTGCATACTTTCGGACCGTAAACGCGATGATTCCAGCACAGATTTGTAGAGGAGCGTTCACGAGATCTAGAACGACGGCGTGAGGGTGACCGGTTTCTGGTCGACTGTAAGCTGTTGATAGCAGTACAGATTGTGCTCACTTGTGTGCACTGAAGACGTACAGTGTCCCTTAGATCGTCATAGTCACCGCGGTGAGGACTGTTCGGTTGTCTTGATGGACCTGATGGCGTGGTGGCTCTGCGTGATGAGCAACGACAGGCCGACCGCTCCACACAAGTGTCGCGTTCCAGTGAAGGAGTGCCTTCTGGACAGAAGATGGCTACTCTAGCAGATCCGTCGGGTGCCAAGGTCAGGTGAATATTGACGCATGTCGCACCGACTGGGTAGCATTCACTGATTCTGTCGGCATGATTGGTCATTTTGTCCAGAGAGATGCTAATGCCCAGCATAGACAAAACCTACTGCATGGGAACCGGCAATTTATCCAACCAGATTTGTCAAAAAATGTCGTCGTCAATATGATGACCAGCCAGTAATGAGCGCATGTGGCGCATAGCTGCAAAGGAATTTGATCACCCAGTTCTGCCTGTGTGAACAACTCCCGTAGCATCCTATTGGCCGACTTGGCCACTCTCTGGATGACGGCATTCTTCAACTGGGTGTACGACTTGTTGGCAGGAATGGGGTCGAGGAGGTCGTCAACATCGACGGCAACGTCGAAGGGGAGACTTTGCACCACATAGGAGTAGCGGGTGCGTTCGCTTGTAATGCGGCTCGTTGAGAAAACCGCTTCAATTTGACGAAACCAAACCCGGGGGTTGCTCGGTGTAAAAGGGGGTAGATTGAAGGAGAGGGTACTGACGCCGAAAGAGTCTGTTTTAGGTTCGTTATCAGTTATAGTAAAAAATAGGTTGCGTAGATATAGAAAAACAGGGTCACCACTTTTGTAGTGTAAATAGCAACTAAATTACAAATAATAATAATAAATACCTAGCTCTAAGTAGGGGATTCTGCCATTCTTGCAAGAACAATAAAGATAGCAAAAGAGTATAAGAAAAACGACAAAGGGTAAATACCTGTACAGACTCACGAAAAATAAAGCCTTCTCCAGAATCATTGGTCGTAGGGCGAATGTTCGGAGAAAAATCCTGAGACGAAGTCAGTGAATGAGGCTTGTCGCGCACGTGAAATTACGTCCAGTTAAATATGGCCATAAGATACAAAAGTCTCGTGTCGATTGACTAAAAGCGATTGATGCAAATGAGCCCAATCACCGAAACGATGACACCAAGCAGCAGACGGACACAAAGTCGCGCTTTTTCACAAGTCGAAACCAAGTGTATATTTTAGCTGGTTTAAACAACAGTACAGAAACGTTCAGGCGTACAAGAAAGTTTAGAGTGAAAAATCGAAAATGTGCGCAAACCTACACGTTTCACAAGAGCGATCGGGAAAAAAAGCCATGTTGCGAAGAACTAATTCTTCGATTGGTTATACAGAAATCAGTAATTATCATGGCAACATTTGTTTCAACGATTTTAGCGAGAGGTGGTGTTTATGGACACCTCAATAGTTTTGAACAGAACGACAGCCAGATTTAAATGCTGGAATATTAACAGAAGTTTTCCAATAGTCAGGAAAGAGACCATTCTCGAGAATGACTGAAAAGAGCTTATTAAGCAGAGGTGGAAAGTCTCTTAGCTGTTTAATAAGAGAGTTCGGGATGTCTTCAGTTCCTACTGAGTGCGAGTTAGTAAGCTGTTTTATCAGCTTCTGAATATTTGCAGGAACAAAATCAAGGGTTGTGTGGAAAGCATCAGACGACAGGAGCATTGGGGAGATAAGGTCAGTTTCAATAGCAAAATGTTTGGCGAAGAATAAATTTAACAATTCTGCTTGTCCTGACTCCTCAGTAATGAAGGTATTGTTGGAACCAAGCTAACGCGGAATGACTTGATGGGACTTAGCTGATGATCTTTGACGGAGGAACTGAGCGATATATCTAGGAGGATTCGCACCACTTATGTCGCGCGAGCCACATTTTCGTAGCTAATTCAAGTATTTCATGGCTTTTAAAGAAGGACCACTGGGCATTGAGGTCGCCGCCGCAAAGTAACCATAGCTGATCACACTTCATTCTCCGTGTGTGCTTTCGCTTTCTATTCAACCCATGCGTCATGTCCTTCATAGAACGCGAAGTCCTCCCTAACCAGACTTTCGGAGAAGTAATCAGGGTCTTATTGATGCGGCTAGCTGCCAGCTGTCCGCGAGTATGTACAAAATCCCTTTTTCACCTTCCCATTTATCAATGTTTTTCTCCGACGACTTGTAACCGAGAGGGAATTCAAAGGCGCTTGCCTATATTTCCCTTAATAAACTGATACTGATACTGATACTGATACCTCCGTTTTGCCCGCCCCTAAATATCATCAGGATTCCATTCTGCTCACTGGAACGTCAAGGTCTTGCCTCAATTGCCGGTCTCGCCCTAGGTGTGCCACTGTCTAGTATCCCTAGGCGCACAAAATGACGCTTTTTGCCTTTATAACTTCATCCCATCCCCAGTAGTAACGCACCTTCTTCTTCATACCCCTTCGCGAAAAGGTTTTAGTCTCCTGAATATGACTTGAAAGTGAAGGTTCCCCAAACTCTCACCTCACTTTTAATTTCGACAGTTTTCTCACTGCTTCGTTCGTAGTTCAGCCTTTTGTCCAAGATCTTCCAGATGGGAATTTGCGGATGTCCTTGTTATGAAAGGAATCTTTTTCAAAAGAACAAGTTGCCGGCGGACGTGACAAACGTTCTCTCCTCAATGCAGCACAATTTCTAAAGTTCACAGTACATCTGGCTGCTCACACGGACCATTACTGTCCGCTTAAAATAAAACCAGGGATCAAACCGCACTGACTCCTTTGACAGGGTTTGTTTTCAAGACGACTGAATAAAATAGAAGCAAAAAATATACAGCTTGATCTCTGCCACACAAGCATTAGCACTTTATGACATGATTTCTGGCCTCTGCGAGCTGTCCATCTTCTAAATGCCCTGCCAAAACTCTTTCTGAATTTCGGCTGGACAGTTCGATCCCCGGATGTGTGGATTATAATAAGACAACATCAACGGTTAGGGAACATCGGTTTCCCAGGAAAACCGTACGCTTTCTCCTCCGACCGTTGGTCCGATACGCTCCTTAACCTCGATACCGCACCAATGACTACCCAGCGTTTTATACAGTGGGTAGGTCACTACACTATAGCCACATGCGAAAAGGATAGTGAAGCCTAGATAGTCCCCATTATCGTATCATGGTTCCAACCTGGCACTATTCGTTAGGACGTTCTCAGCTTACAGGTCAATTTGTAGTCGTGTGACTAATCGCACAAAGGCCACATGCAAACACTACGACCACGGGTAGCGTTTGTTTGGGTGTGAGAATAACAAAGCCTTTGCAAGAAGTTATTTCTGATGACCGAAAATGGCGCTAAAATCAAAAAGAGGTATTTATGCACGTTTAGTCTGCCAGGCGCAATTCCCCAACCCGATATGGGCCTGATTCACCACAAAATGGAATTTACGCTGCTTATTTCGACGCCGTTAGGTGTGTTTGCCCTACGGGTAGAGGGCACGCGGCCTTCCTACGCAGCGAATATCCCGGGTAAATGAGGCTCTGTATCCGCCATTCCTGTGGACTTACCCACTATGGTTGCCAGTGACACCGTTGCCCACACTGGTGCACGGTTATCAGTGAATGCGAGCTCACAACAAAATAATACGATGTCCGCATAGAATCCTTTTTACTCAGCAAATAGAAGTTTATTTGCATATAGCATTATCATAAAGCATGCTGGCCGTCTCCTACTGACCAGTCGGACATTCGTTTACATTTGAATTGCAAATACACTCGATTGAATGCACCGAACGAAACCTTAGATGAGCCTTCGTCGAAGGATGAAACAAGAGTCGGAGGCAAATGACATCAAAATAAAAGCCTGCAGTACAATTGAGCATATCACACATGACGCTGGTCGCCGATCTCAAGAGAAGCTCGGTCAGTATTCCGGAAGCGTCTTGGAAGTGGAATGTGTTTCACAGTGCAAAGATTGGCGGAACTCTTGGTGATAGTATAATCTCGCTATGTTTATTTCGTTCTTTCGACTGTAGATCTGACAGTTAAGGTGGTCGAAAGTGTCATATGGCGCCGAAACCTGCTCCTTTGTTACCCAGCCCCGAACGCTGTGGAGTAGGGCACCCATCCAGCTGCTGTTCCGCATGTCTGTCTTTTGCCGTATCGTCTTTGACTACCTTGACGCGGGTGATGGTGATTGAGCCCAATGACCTAGTCGTCAGAGGTTTGCTGCAGACAGCCAATCACCTCCGTTGGAATGCGTAATGCCAAATGATTTCCAAAATCTAAAAAGTGGTGTGCGTACCTTGTCACTGTTGTTTTCTTTGAAATAGGTGGTACAAACCCTTGGACTAACTCTTTCGCACCTTGGTAACCATCTCGACCGGCGGGCTAAAGCAGGTGAGGGTATCCGTGTGTGTACTCCCACATGATAATTCTACTCTCCTCCCTCCTTCTGCCTTTTCCAATCCCTTGTCCTCCCTTTCCTACTCCCCCCATCTCCGCTCATCTCCCCTTTTCTCCTTCCTCCGTCTCCTCCTTCTCCACCTCTGTCCGTGATCCTAAGTGAAAAGCGGCACCCGCCTGGTGCGACAAAGCAGCCCGAGAGAAGAGGGGCTATAAAAGACACCCTAAACAAAGCTGGGTTCACAACATGTGTAAGCTGAGCGTGGCCCGCAGACTGCTTAACATACGGTCGAAACCAAAACACAAGATAAAAATACTCTCCCGTTTCCTACTCCTTCTCTTCCTCCTCCTCCTCCTCCTCCTCTCTGCCGCTTCACCCCACAGACTGCTAGGGTGAATCCGCTCACATCAGCAGTCTGGAACGTTCTTTTCCCTTTAGATACTTCCAGGAGCAACCGGCCGGAACAGAGGACGGCGATAGTTGCTCTGGAACTGGCGTGCCACAAGACGGACATCGTTGCACTTAGCGAAATCCGATTCTCCGAACAAGGCCAGCTAGAGGGGGTGGGTGTCGGCTACACCTTCTGAAGCAGCCACACCAAGGTGGAACGATGAGAAGCGGGCGTCGCTTTTGCCATCCGGGACGATATTGTGGGAGGACTCTCCTGTCTGCCGCAGGACATCGACGGCCGACTGGTGAGCCTGCGCCTGCCTATAGGGGGATTCAACTTCGTTACCTACGTCCCGAAAATGGCCGGTCCTGATAATGCAAAGACAAAGTTCTACGAATATCTGCACACCCTCCTGTCGTCGGTACCGAGGTCGGATAAGCTGATTGTCCTTGGTGACTTCACCGCCCACGTCGGCGCGGACCATAATGCCAGGAGAGAAGTGCTGAGCCTCCGCGAAATCACCGGCTGTAACGACAATGGCCTCCTCCTGCGCTGAACACCGCCTCCTGTTGATGAACACCCTCTTCTGCCTGCCGGTGCGGAAGAAGACCGCCTGAATGCATCCCCATTCGCGGCGCAGACAGCTGCTGGGCTGTGTTCCCGTTTGGAGAGAAGATCAGCAAGACGTGGTGGTGACCAAGACAGTTTGCGACCCCGACGGCTGGACGGACCATCACATTATCATCTCTAATATGAGGCTCCGTCTGCGGCCCCGCAGGAGGCCACGAGGTAGGCGACCCCCAGGTAAGCTGAATATTGCTTTGTCGTCTTAAGGGTAAGGTGATACCATACTAACAGCACAGGTACTAGCCAAAAGCCCATACACGCGTGTTTCGACGATGTTTTGCCGCTGCATGGCGCAGCTGTTAGTGTGGTATGCTTTTAGTATGGTATGGTATGGTATCACCTCACCGCTTCCAACGTGTCCTCGATGTCAACGGACATTCCGGGCTCCAATCGGACTTGTTGGACATCTTCGGATTAACTGCGCCTCTCGAACGGCACCAACCATCGTCCCCCCGCCTGCCACTTCCTCCTCCTCTCCGCCGCCAACTAACCCTGACAATTCTTCTGACCCACCACTTCCATCATCCTTTTCCTCCTCCTCCTCCTCCTCCTCGCCCACTGCTCCAACGGCGGCCGCTCAGGCGACTGTCCCGCGCACAACAACCGACACTACCACCACCTCCCCCGACTCCAGGAATGAGGATCAGGACTACACCTGCCCTCACTGCGACCGTACCTTCACCTCACACATCGGCCTGGTCGGCCACTTGCGAATCCATCGCACAGAGACTGGCAAACCAGTGCGCGAAGCACCAACCTACACCCACCGCACTCGCCTCCACTGCCCACACTGCCCTCGCACCTTCAGGCATCGCATGGGCCTTTTCGGCCACATGCGCATCCACGAGAGCGGCCTTGACCGCACTCCCGACACACCCACTACATCCAACACATCCACCGTGCACACCCCCGCCCTCGTTCCATCCGTCCGCACCACCACAACCACCGCCACCTCTGTAGCTGACACTGACACCACCGACTTCTCATGCCCACACTGTCCACGCACATTCACCTCACGCATCGGCCTGGTCGGTCACTTGCGAATCCATCGCACAAAGAGTGGCGAACCAGTACCTGGAGCACCCACCTATACCCACCAAGCTCGTTTCAACTACCAACACTGCCCTCGCACTTTCAGGCATCGCATGGGCCTATTCGGCCTCATGCGCGTCCACGACGACCTGCGGTAGACAACCGCCGGTTACACCACACATCCACACACTCCCTACCTCCTCCACCACCACCATCACCCCACCAGAAATCAACACTCACACACCTCATGCACCCAACTGCCACCTCACACGCAAGTGGGAAGTCCGCATCTCGACTCGGTCCCCTTGCGGCTTCGGCTGCACGGGTGACTTGAGTCCGAGACTATCCCGACACGTCAAGCGTCGTGGATAGGAAGGTTGCTGATTGACGCCCGTTCTCGGTTTACGCAGTTCGTCGCGTTGTGTGTGTGTTGTGTGGAGTGGCGGACTGGTGGGCCGGGAACGGGCTGAAACAGCACCTTCCACGGCACTCTCACGCAAGTGGGAGACACGCCGTTCAACCCCCGTTGTGTGAAATCCTGGTGTTGTGTGCATGGGGGGCCAGGTCGTGCCGTGGCGCGCGCAGTCATGGTCATTCGACCATGACAGCCACCGCGCCCATTTCCCACTCCAGTCTGCTGACCGGCTCGGACAGCGGCTGGGGTGTGGGAGTGGGAAGGGAGAGTGAGGTCGACGACTCAGCGCACTTTCTCCTCACTATAAACAATCTGACGCGCTTGAAGCTATCACGGTGCGCTAAAAGCCGTGGCTTGGAAGGTTGCCAACTGACGGGGTAACTTGGACCTCCTCCTTGACCGGAGGCGTTCTGAGAGTCAGGCTGCAATGGCTCCTTTTTAATGTGGCCTTTATGACACTCCCATCACAGTGTGGGATCCGAGCCAGGCGTCGGCGGCACGCCCAGGTGCGGTTTCGGCCGTGCCAGCCTCCAAATCTCTGTTGTGTTGGTTGAAATCCTGGTTATTTGTTGTGTGGACCAGGGGGTGTGGTGGAACGCCAAGGTGAGGATCCGTCCGAGCCATCCACCTGCGGCCTCTCTCGTCTCCGGTCTTCTTGACTCTGTCTTGACACCGGGCTTGGGCGAGGGAGGAGGAGAGAGTGTAGGTAGATGCTACGCAAGTCTACCGGCACTATAAACCCCTGCGTAAGTCACCGTCCCTGCTTCCACCGCTGATGCAGCTGTGGGGCACACGGTGGACATCATCGAAAACGATGGTCGAACTGTCATCACCTTACCCTTAAGTATACTACTAGCTGCCTGTAGGCAGTTAATGAATATTACGCGTTTGGCTGTGGCTGATGGACTTTGGCCCAAATATTCATGTATAAAATTCTCTGTTTGATCCTACAGACCTTGAATAAACTGAACTACTCCAACTTCGTAGGTAATTTCCCAGGAAATTAAATAGCGACAATTTGCTGCCTTTGCCTGCACACCGTTTTCATTTCAGGAGTCAGCTGACCCAGCGGCTGTAGATGAAAACATTTCCATGGAGACTCAGTGATGCAAATTACGGGACGCCATTCATTCGACCGCCCTGGCTGTCCTCCGTAGCGTGCGTCGCCAGCACTGTGACTGGTTCGATGACAGTGAGGTAACCATCAGTAACCTGCTCGCTGAGAAGAACAGGCTGCATAAAACCTACCTCAACTTTTCAAATGAAGCGAAGGAGGCGGCCTTCTACCACCGTCGCCGCCTTGCACAGCAACAACAGGGAGAAATACGGGACGCCTGGATATCTCGCAAGGCCAGGGAGATCCAGGGATATGCCGACGGCAAAGAATCCAAAAACGTCTTCGCTGCGATCAGGGCGATCTGTGGGCCTCCAACGAAAGAAATCCGCTGCTTCTCATCTCCGATAGATCAATGCTTCTGATGGAGGAGTTGCAGATTCTGACGCGTTAGGCTGAGCACTTCTAAAGTGTCCTCAACCATCCTTCCACAATCTTCGACACCCCTATCCACCGGCTCCCTCATGTAGAAATCATCATCGACCTGGATCTGCAGCCCTCTCTCTCTCAGAAACCATCCGGGCCGTGCAACAACTCTCCAGCGGTAAAGCACCAGGCTCCGATGCGATCTCAACCGAAACCTACAAACACGATGGCCGCCGACTGATGGACCAAATCACGGCAGTATTTCAGGAGATGTGGTGCTGCGAACGAGTTCCTTAGGATTTCAAGTTTCAACCATCGCCCACCTGTGCAAGCGCAAAGGGAACCGGCACCTCTGTAACATTCACCGAGGCATCCCGCTACTCAGTATCGCTGGGAAGATCTTCGCCCACCATCCCTCTCAATCGTCGCCACCTGGCTCAAGGACGCCTACCGGAAAGCAAGCAAGGCTTTCGACGTAACTGGGACACCACCGATATTATCTTTACCATCCGCCAGCTCTAGGAGAAGCTCCAGGATATGTGGGCTCATCTCTAAACCACCTTCATGGATCTGACGAAAACCTTCCACACGGTGAATCGCAAAGGAATGTGGAGAGTGGTGCTGAAGTTCGGCTATCCAGAGAGATTCACGCACATGGTACTTCAGCTCCACGATTGGATTGTGGCGCGCGTCACGGACAACGGCGCAATCCCCGAGGCATTTGCAGTGGCCAATTGAGTGAAACTGGGCCACGTACTCGTTCCCACCCTCTTCAGTCCCACGTTCTCTGTCAAGCTGATGGACGTCTACCGTGGTGAACGCCCCGCGATCTGCATGAACTACAGGGCCGACGGGTACCCTCTCAACACCCGACGAGTGAAGGCCCGGGCACGTCTCTCCACAGCCACTAACCACGATATGCTCTTCGCTGACAACCGTGCATTCAACAGTATGACCGAAGAAGACATTCAACGGACCATGGGCATCTTCGCTTCTGACTGCGCTCACTTCGGACTGGCCATCAATACGGACAAGACGGCAGCCATGCATCAACATGCATCAATCGCTGGGCATAGTGCCCCTCGCTGCCGCGCGAACGGCACCAAGCAGAAGACTGTGGACAACTTCAGCTACCTAGGCGGCACAATGTCTCGTAGAATCAGAATCAACGATAAAGTGGCCCACTGGATCTCCAAAGCTAGCCAAACCCTCCGTCGATTGCAGAACACCGTGTGGAATCGCCATGGCCTTCGACTGAATGACAAACTGAAAATGTGCAAGGCCGTCGTCCTGAAGGCACTTCTCTATGGAGCGAAGACCTGAACAGTCTACTGCAGCCAGGAAGCCCAACCACTTCCATCTCAACTGCCTTTGCAGAATACTAAAACTGAGGTAACCAGATAGGATTCCCCACACAGAAGTTGTCGAATGCACCCAAAACCTCAGCATCCACGACATGCTAAGACAACTGCAACTACTTAGGAGCAGCCATCTCGTGAAGATGGATGATACACACCTACCGAAACAAATTTTCTATGGTTATGTCTCCACCGGTGCTCGCCGACCGGCGGGACCAAAACTGCCCTGCAAAGACACATCGAAGAATTCACTTAAGCGATCGCATATCAATCCAGAGACCTGGGAGGACCTCGTCCAGCACAGACTGGCCTGGAAAACAGCAATAAAGACTGGCGCAGCCATCTACGAAGCAAAAAGGATCGTCGCCATCTGCTGGCAAGTCTCAGGCCCCGCCTATTCGCAACGTCGCCGCTCAATCCTAGCCTGTCCTCATCGCGACCGCACATTCGCCTCACACATCCACCTGGTCGAAATCCACGTGTGCGCGTGGGGGGGGGGGAGCGGGCCGTGTGTGCGGCACGCGCAGAAGAGCGTCGATATCAGCAGAAGCGTACCTACTGATAACGAATTCCCTAGACAAGATAATCACACCTACTGACAACAAGTAAGTACGTCAACAATATTAAAGTATAATGTCTGGCTACGAACTACGGTCTTGCCACCTATCTCAATCTCAACACCAATTTGTTGGCCAGTTCGGACACCTGACTGGCGTGCGGGACTAAATGGAATGAGTGTAGTCGAATGTCAGCGCACTACGGACAAGACGACAACCATGCATCGACGTGCATCGATCGCTGGGCATAGCTACCCTCGCATCCGTGTCAACAGCACCTAACTGTAGACCGTGGATAACTTCAAGTACCTAGGCGGCACGCTGTCTCGCAGCATCAGAATCGACGATGAAGTGGGCCACTGGATCTTCAAAGCTAGCCGCAACGTCATTATAAAAACAATCTGACGCGCTTGAGACTATCGTGATGCGTTAAAAGCCGTTGCTTGAAGTTCTTCTAACTGACGCTTCAACTCAGACCACGCAGTCAGCTTTGTTATGTGTTTATGTGCTGAGGCGCCGACTGGTGAACTGAGAGTCAGAATACGATGCGAGTTTTCCCCGAGCCATCCATCCGCGTCCTCTCCCTCCTCCGGTCTTCTTGACGTCAAGTAGAGGTTGAGGCAGATGCAGCACAAGTTTGCTATAACTTAAAATGGGTCACGCGCAAGTCCCCCTCCCTGCTCCCACCCTGCTGTGGGGCATAGGGTGGACACTTTCGGTTACGACGGTCGAACTGTTGCATGACCAGCCCTCTGTACGACAAAATTAGGAAATTTTTTGCAAAATAGGAAAAGTTGTGGCATCCGCCAGCGGTTTGTCCTTTCGCATACGATATTTGTGATAGTAATATCCACGAATGCTTGTTGGAGCTGACAGACAGAGGAATGATCATGATTTAGGGACTAGTATTTGCTATTTGTTCTGTGAAATCAGACTGCTGCTACAGTCCGCTGTGCGCTGCAATAGCGGGCAATAGCACTTACACCAGGACTGGAAGGACAATCAGAATTCTGGTTTGGAACATCTTTAGGAGGACAAATGTCTGACTCTGTCTCTGATGATGGATTCGAGTGAGAATCCGAAACGTCAGGCTAATAAAGCTCTTGTTCCAGCGATGATGTTTCCTTCTTCGCGGACAAATGTCTGCCGTACATATTGAGGAGCAAATCCGGCTGACGGAGGCTGTCTGGCAAACACTTGTCAGTGGAAGCAGAGGAAACACAAGTAGGAGATTCGTGGTCTATGTAATAGCCGATTTCTCTGTCTTCGTCACAGTTAAGAGGATGCTTAAAAGCCAAATATGCAACGAAGAGTTGCAGGCGAGGTAGAGAACCTGTAGTGGCCCTACTCCGAGCGCCTACCGCAACATTGGGCCTCTCGCGAACGTCCGCACATGCACTCCAGGGCTGTCTGGCTTTCGCCCACTCGGCTTTCCAACCGGCCAATCAAATTCACGGCCAAGTCATAGGTGCCCCGGCGTAGGACGCTTTGACGCACTCCCTCACAAAATTGGGACGCCGCTCACTCGGCGTCCGACGTGCCCTTGTCCGGCCCAGCATATCTTTGATAGGCCAACGGATAAATGCCCGTGGAGGCCTGTTAATGATGGACTGCACCGACGATGCAGTCGGAGGCGTCAGCAACAATGAAGCGCGAACGTAAATTGGAAGGTGAAAAGGCGGTTGTGAAGAAGAAGAAGAAGATGATGATGATGATGATGATGATGATGATGATGATGATGATGAGATCGCGGGAACGAGAAGTTTATTGGCCTGAGGTTTGAGATTCTCATTTCAACCCATAATCGGAGACAGTCGCAGATAAGGGTAATGGTGGCACAAGGAGTGCGGTATTTATAGCACGTGACTGCCGTGGGACCATATCCGTACTGTGAGTAACGGCCCTCGCGATCACCGCTGGGGGCTGTAATCGAAACGATAATGGCTCGTCAGTCCGCGTCCGAGCCGTTAAATGCCGCAATTTCATCATGTGTGTTGGATGTTGGCGTGATGATGGTTCGGCAATTTGGCCCGCTGTCACCGGGATTATTTCTCGTCCACGCCCTCCCCAAGTGACTGATTCCCCTGCGCGAGAAATATCTCAGCACGGAATACGGTAACGGGGGTCATTGGGCTTGTTGATGGATTGCGGGCCTGAGAACCATGACTCGAGCAGTTCGCGGTTAACGCGGTTGTCACCCCTTGCAATAATGTTGGCCTCTTGAAACTTGAAGATATGGCTGGATTCCGTAGAAGAAGCCGCCACCTGAGAGCTACCTTTTTCCCTCCTTACCGCTGCTACGTGCTCAGCCATCCGCGTACGGAGTAATCTCCCGGTTTCTCCGACATAGTTGCTCTGTCCACAACTGCACCAGGTCCGATAAACGACTCCAGACGTTTCCTGCCGTGGCAGTGGGTCTTTCGGCCTCATGACTTGAAACCTGATGGGTGCTTCCTGTCCGTGAGCAACCTCAACTCCAAGTGGAGCGAGAAGGCGGTTGACGGCTTCCGAGAAGTTCCTCACGTACGGAAGAGCTCGCCAAAATGTAGGGCCGGTTGGATTTGGTCCCTGGTCTCGTTTTTTTCGTATGCATTGGTTGACAAAGTTGCGCGGGTAGCCATTGGCTGTCCGTACCAGTTGAAGATATTGTAATTCAGCAACCTTGTCTTCCGTTTCACTGCAATGCGTCACTATGCGCCGGTACAGCGCCCTTACGCAATTGCATTTGTGACAAATCGGGTGGATACTGTTGAAAATGAGTACTTGCTTTATGTTTGTCGCCTTCCTGAACAACTGTGGCCCCACGGCAACTACTTACTATAAATACTGCAGTCTTTGTGCCTCCACTACCATTATCTGCAGCTGTCTCTGATGATGGGTTCGAGTGAGAATCCGAAACGTCAGACCAATAAACTTCCTATTCCAGCGATCACATCTTCTTCTGTTCTGCGAAAATTCCCATATTACGATTGAAAAGTCAATTGGCTAACATATGTTTTCGGTAAATTCTCATCAGGCCTGTACATTTACAAGGGAAATGATCAGTCTAATTGTCGACAGGGTATAAATGCGTCTCGGGGGCAGGGTTAATCGGACTCCATGTTCCCACGCCGCCCGCATGACGG